CCGCTGAAAGGAGGCGGCGGTGGCGGCGGCGGCTCCGCCGCCGCTGGCGGCGCCAGCGGCGCCGCCGCACGGCAGCTGGCTCAGCAGCTTCACCGCCGTGTAGCGATGGCGTTGTCGCACGATCCTCACGCAGCCAAGCTGGCGAATGACGCCTTCCGGTCCTTCGTTCGCGCGTACGCCACACACTCAGGCGACTTGAAGCGAGTGTTTGCGGTTCGTAATCTGCACCTGGGCCATGTGGCTCATTCCTTTTGTTTGCTGGACAAGCCCACGACCTTGGGCAGCTCCGCGTCGGCGGCAGATCGAAAGCGGCGAAAGCGCGAGGCTATGGTTACGCAGGAGGCAGAGCGGCGGCGGAAGATGAAGCGCGCGGCGCGGCATATATCGGCGTGAGAGGGGCGCGCATGTGTGAGCTAGTGAGGTTGGGTTTTGGGTGGGGAGTTGGGGGTGAGGGGGATGGGGGAGGCCAGCATGACGGAAGAAATGTGGGTGTCTCGGTGGGTAGTTTTCTTTTTTACCAAAAATGCCATCAGTTTACAAACCGTCGGATTTTTGCCCTCGTGAGTCGCTAAGGACCAGATACCTCGGCAGTCGACCCAGGATTTGTAGAAGTCGTCCAGTGCTAAGGACTGGGATTTTTCCATGGTTCGTGTATTTGGGCACTTCGTTTAGAATTGTTTCGTGTTTTCCTAATATCGTGTTTTCCTAAGCACGAGACATTTCTGAACAAAGTAGCTACAAAGATCTTGACTTAGGGTTTTGACGATATGACATTTCCCGAACTAGCGGCGCAGGTGATTAGACCCGACGATGGGGTTGCGTGAGGGAGATGAGTTCATGTGCGGTGCGGTAGTTCTATTAGGCATGTGACTTTAGCAGTTTCCTAGGGTACGTGTGCCTGTCTGTGTGTCTGTCTGTCTGTCTGTCTGTGTGCCTGTCTGTGTGCCTGTCTGTCTGTGTGCCTGTCTGTGTGCCTGTCTGTCTGTCTGTGTGCCTGTCTGTGTGTCTGTCTGTGTGTCTGTCTGTGTGTCTGTCTGTGTGCCTGTCTGTGTGTGTCTGTCTGTGTGCCTGTCTGTGTGTCTGTCTGTGTGTCTGTCTGTGTGCCTGTCTGTGTGTGTCTGTCTGTGTGCCTGTCTGTGTGCCTGTCTGTGTGTCTGTCTGTGTGTCTGTCTGTGTGTCTGTCTGTGTATTTATTACATATCGATTCCGGGCCTGACGTTGGCCAGGGGCGCACCTAACCCTATACTCCAACGGGAACGACCGCAGAAGCACTCTCCATCATTGGAGGGCGTCATATCGGTGAGGTTCCTTGCCGTTCTTTCTTGTCAACGCAAGGCGCCGTCACCTGTTCGAATCCTCAGGCCAGCTACATACACCAGCTCAGGTGCCTAATAAACCCCAATCCACCGAAAGCTTATCCTCTACAGCTGCGCAACCTACCGATGCACTCACACCGACGTCAATCGCGCCACCCTATCCTTGCGAATCCTGCCGCCGCCGCCCGGGGTTTCGTTATCCAACCACCCCCATCTGGTACACAGCCTGGTCCAGGCCCTGTGCAGTGTATTATCCCTCCGCCACTGCTCTGCGGCTAAGCGTATAGGTCTTCTCCTGGGACTCCCAACCCAGCTGTCCAGCGCACTGAAGTAAAACCCAGTGTCTCCAGCATTCGTCCAGTATTTCTCCCAGGAGCCCAGCGGTGACTTCCAAACCTACGCCTTCCGATTGCGCTAGATGGATGTGGAACCAGGAAAATTTCGCAGGTTGGCTACATTGAGGCGCCGGGAACCCCAGACTGCCCCTAGAGTGTCGACGGCAGCGTGTATCACCCGTTGAGAGTATGGGGGAGGAGTTGGGGTAAGACGAACCACGGGCGAGTGAAGCAGATACCAGAGATAAACGGCTGGCTATATCCGACTAAGACAGCCGGATAGTGTCTAGGAAGTCTTTTGGAGTTACAGATCAGGTTATGAAGGGGCTGTGGTTGGTACGTGTACAGAGGTGCGGTGGGGTGCGTTGCAGCCGACATGGAAGTTAAGAATTTAGATCATCCGGAAAAAGAAAAACCTAAGCGTCGTAATTTGTCGTACTCGTACGTTAGCTACGTCCACATGTGATGCAGCTTTGTTTCCTCGCACTTGCGGCAACTACTTCCAAACCAAACCAAACTTTACAGACCACAAGTCCAGCGGCGAGAGCACTTGCCGCTCACATCTCTGCCGCAAGGGCGCTTTTACACGCGACCTAGCTTCCAAGAATGCGTTTTTCCCCCTATACTGTACAGCAACACCAACCAACAGTAACACTAACCCACAACGACATTTGATAACGAAACCATCAGCAGCAGCAGCAGCGTCATTATGTCATAACGTTTGTTCTTGCTACGCACACTTTGCAGGAAAAGGACTTGGCGGTTTTTTCCACCAGAGCAGTGCTATTATGCATGAAACGTGCACGATGGCCCATTTTAACTGCTAACCTGCGGGGCCACAGGAAAGGGCGAGGAGAGAGAAAGACAAGAGAGAGAGGGGAAGAGATAGAGAAAAGAGACACCCCACACGGAGAGGAGTTAAGGAGCGACATGGGGCCCTTAGTCCCGTCTGCTAAACAGCAACACAGCACTTTCCAGCTGTGTGCAACACCACAACTGCACCACCAAGTAGCTGCTCTCGTCTTCGCGATCCACCTAGAACCCCTACCAAGAATAACCTAACGTCTGCGCAAGCAGCCCCTGGTCCCCTGACAAAAGCCACAAAAGCCAATTTGGCGACAGATCCCGTCGACTCTTTCCGTCGGGGACGCCCGCCGCAAAGTATGTGTGTGTTGTGTGGAGCCCATAATTCCACCCTCCGGAGTGTTTATCCGAGGACCGTCATCAGTATGTCACCCGGTTAAATCCACTTCCCAGCTAAATCCACCATTTCCTGCTCCGCAGGAGGAATAAGTGAAGTGGCACAGTTGGCAAATGCCTTGTTGAGGAGGGGAGAAACCGCCGACTACGAGCCAAGCGGAGGTCGAGGGGAAAGGCCGCTGCGACCCGGTGGCCGCACAACCCGACCCGGTGCGAATTATGGCACAGCCCAAGATGGAGCACATAAACACACACACGCACACAACCAACCCTTCCTTTTCTCCCCCCTCATCGTACGCCTCCTCCTTTGCCATCCTACCTCCCGGCCCTGCCACCAGCCTCACTCGCATCGGAACCCCACCCCACCCCACCCCCAACCCTCACGTCCCTAGCGAGCACTGCGAGCGAGAAGGGAAAGCGCCGTATCCCCAAGCAAGCCCCTCTGGAACACAATCCGGCCCATACCGCTGCTGCTACTACTGCCGCTGCTGCTATCGCTGCAAGAGCCCCAACCAACAGACCGGCCTCGTCCAGCAGGTGACGCATCGTCATCGTCATCGAGAAATCCGGTAATCAGCCAAACCCACTTACACATCGCCACCTGCACTTCCGGTGCTTCCACGGCATCTCACAAACATCCGCCATCATCTAGCCCCGGTGTCTCTGTCTCCCCCACCGGCAAGGACCGCTACATAAAAACACGTAGTAAGTTCAGACCTCTGGGCATTACAACCCCTCGTCCAGCCCAGGAAAAAAGGAACAGGATGACAGGAGCTGGGAGACAGGTCGTGCTCCTCACCCGCGTCACATTGCTTTCCCCGCCTTTTTTATCGCCCCCGCAACTCCGCCAGGCGCGCCGATAAGTCGTCCTCGCCTTGCTTGGACGCCGCGGCCTTGGCGCCTGCAGAGGCGGCGGCAGAGGGCATCCCCAGCGCCACCTCCAACCCGTGCTCCTCCGCCACCTGGTTCATGAGCGCCGTCACCTCGTCCTCTGGCGTGGACAGACTGGCCTGGGCACCCATCACGTCATCCACCACCTGGGTTTGCAAATCCAAATTTTCAAACTGCTTCTCGAACTGGGTCATCGTGTTTGCAATCGTCTCCAGGTTGTTGATCGCCATCGCCTTCTCCAGGCTCTTGACGATGCCCGCCATGTTCTTCTGGACCTGGGGGTTTGAGTTGGGTTGGGGGGAGATAGTGTGTGAGTGTGTGTTTGGGGGGAAAGAGACGAACCACGAACGAGTGAAGCTGATGCCAAGGATAGATAGACTGATATGAAGATACTGCGAGCGGGGGAGCGAGGTTTGAAATGGTAGGGAGAGAAGGGCCTTCGTTCCAGAGGCACTTGAGCTATGCGCTGATTTGATCTCGGTACCGGCTCTCAGGCCGCCCGCCTCCTCCTCCGGAGTCGATTTTCCTTTGTCTGGGTTGTACCCACCATCTGCATCTTGGCTTGTGATTCCAGCCTGCTGACGGTGGCATCCAGCCGTGATGCGAGCTTCATGTAGTTGAGCTGCTCGTTCTTCTTGCGGATGGCGTTCTGGGCGTAGATGCGCGCGCCCTCCATGTTGCCCTTTTCAATAGCTTTCTTAACCTGCGTGTGGTGCGAGTATGTGTATGTGCATGTGTGTGGAAGGGGAAACCCAGAAGGTGGGAGGGTTGGAAACAATTCGTATGAGCGTGAGCGTACAGTATTTTTTGAAAGTGGTAACGTATTCAGCTTTTTCATTACCCCAGAACTTGGTAAGAAGTGTTCCATGGTTTTGGAGCTGGTGTTACATACTTATACGGATAATGGGAATAGGAATACACATTTTAAAAGCATCTGACCTAGCTACGTGAGAACCACAAATCTCCTTTGCTAAGCGCATTAACTATTCTAGAGGAAATGATATGATTAATACACAGAGATGTGTGTGAAAATGTGTGTGAAGGTTACGAGTATGGGACTGCGCCTGACACTGGCCAGGGGCTGTTACCCAGCCCGACGGAAAGACCGCGTGTATATGATGTGTGAAACAGGGGGGTGTATCTTCGCCCGTGGCAGCTACCCTGCGAAACCCTGCCTTCCCCGGTATTTCGGGGCACCCTCATCCAGTCACCCTAGTCAACTTCTCAGTGGATCGCTCAGGTTCCGCACCCACCACCAGCATCCAACGGAATCTGCCGGGTCGACAGCGGCCCAACTCCGTTCCTGGTCGGCTCGCAGGTTAACTTTATCCCAGGTCACCACCGTCCATCAACTAGGGGCGCAATGCCTTCCACCATCGGAAGGACTTTGACCCTAACGGGTATCGATCCCGGGATCTCCCGGGGGCAATGGTCGCGCCTTACCAGTGGTGCCAAACCCTCTGTATATGTATGTATGTATATATATGTATGTATGTATGTATGTATGTATGTATGTATGTATGTATGTATGTATGTATGTATGTGTCAGTAGATGCATCTGTCTATGCAAGCAAGAGCGACATGTTATGTATGCAACTGGGCCGCTGTGAAAAGGACATATGATTCTGGCAAACAACTGGAGAGTGGCGCGGGCAAACGGAGTAAAGCACGATAACCCAAATCATATACACGATACTGACGTCGTGCCTGGTAATGTAATGTATGATCTGACGAGCAGGATAATCATTGGGGGGTGGAGCTGCTGAAAGATGTGGAAGCAAATGGCGTGTGGCGCTGCGGAGTGTTGAGAAAACGGTTTCGGCGTTGCGCGGCCCAGCCAGGGATGGGCTAATAATGATGTGGTAATAAATATGGATTACTTGCAGATAGGGGTGGGGAGAAGGGCAGCCTGGCCCGGAAGGGGAGGAGGTCCCTACGCGGCGGAATAGCACACCGCACGCAGCTGCACCCTCGGCTCACCTTGAGCTTCTCGGACTTCTCCTCCTTCTCGGCTTTGATGGCGGAACGTGCCAGCTGCTTAGCCGTGAATTTTAAATTGAAGATCTGGTCGAGAAGCTTATCACCGCCCATTCTTCTGCTCCTCCGCCTTAAATGCTCTCAAGAGTAGGAGCCGGGTGCAGCTGCCCGTGGGGTCTGGAACGTTTGGAGCGGCCCCGCTACCTTTACAGCTTTGTTTAACTAAAATCTAAAGGTGCATAAGGTTATTGCGTGCAGTTCCGGTAAGTGGACAACTTGGAACCGCAAATGCCACAACAGGAATGTAACAGGGCTAAGTTATTAAGGGAAATGCATCTGCAAGGCTGGGATGATTCCAATTGTGCGGTGCCGGCACCTTTACCCTTGAGTTGCATTTTCGTGCAATTACGGGTGTACGAAATGAAACGTCTCGCCAGCAGGCAGCTCCCTACAGCCTCCACAAGCAGTTACGTATGCTACTCATCAGGGTTATCTCTTACCTCTGGTTTACAGTGAGGTATATTGCGATCAACGCGTCTAGGCGCTTACAGGATAGGTGACTGCAAAATTAGCGTTTGACCTCCTAGCTTTCGTGTGCAACTTGCAATGATCACTTATAGGTGATAGGGTAGGGTGAAGGGCATCCCTGCTTAAAATGAGTGGCGCTAATCGGGGACCTCTTGACCAGTTCTACAAGGACTGCCTTCGTATCGGCTGTTTAAAGGTGATCAGGAATACCTTATGTAAACCCTGCCAGCGGTGATCCACCCTTTCTCTCAACAAAGTTTCCACCATCGGCTGGGGGACCGCCGTGTTCTTGCAGTGTTTTACGCATTTCCAAATGTATCTGAAAGGCCGGGAGGAGCTAGTGGTAACCATCTACACGGGTTCTCAGGTGTCTCCTCGGCCTCAGCTCAACTTCAGAGCTATTAAAGGGTGAGGGAAGCCAGAGGGCCGGCACGTACCGGTACTGCCGCGGTCTTCTAACCGTACTAAAGTGCGCAGCAGGCTGCAATAACTGCCCACGCCCCACAGCCGCCCGGAACTGCGTAATATGCCCAAAAACTGCCGACCCTCTGATCTGTTTTCCTCTCTATCGCCGCGGCCGATGTCCCAGGAACGGCGACCCCCTTCCGCCTGCCAGCCCGGCTAGCCACGAGCTAGACATCCACAACCCGGAAGTGACTGTGTTCCTAATTGGCGCCTATGCCAAGTACAACTGGCCATACGTCTGGGTAAGGTCGAGACAATCCTTTGGGCCTTACGTACGTAGGAGTACATCAAACTGGGACACTACCACGGGTGGTATGCCGCGCCGTGCAGGGTTAGAGCGACCCTGCAGTCGTTGGGGGCTAGTGGGTGCAAGGGTCGGTCGTACTTTCCCAATTTTAGAGCAATGGCCACGGCTTGGAACAGCCGATATTCCCTACCCTACGCGTTTGAGAGCGGTTTGGCGATGATGTGCGAGTCAGCGCGGGGGGGGGGGTCGTTGACCCCCATCCCAAACCCCATCCTCATCCCCATCGCGAGCGGGCCTCTAGAAGAAAATCCCAATGCACGCGGTGGCCGGGCTATCTACCACCAGCTGATGCCGCACAGCTGCAACAGTATCAGTAGCAGCAACCCTTTTCGCTGCGCGGTGTATTTGCAACGCACGTTTTCACTCAGGCGTTAAGAGCGTGTCGATGTCAACATTTCAATTCGAGGGCGGTTAAGGCTTAAGGGATGTTGGCTGGGTATTGTGTGAGAGGGGGAGGGAGTGTATTGAAGGCATTGGGCTGCCATTGAGCGATGCAAAGGCGACGGAGACATGGCGTGTGACCCATAACGACGCCGGTGTCTGTGTGTCTGTCTGTCTATCTGTCTGTCTGTCTGGCCGTCTATGTGCTCGCTCCGACATTCTCGTCCTGACAACTTAACCTTCTGGTCTAGAGCTGCGGATTCACGCCGGCATGCATTTGGGGCCCCCTGGGGGGGTTTAGGAGGACGTGGCGAACCAAAATCCACTCCCACACCTACCCCACCCTTTGCCCTCCCTCCCTCCCTCCCTCCTGCACAGCTCCGTTCCGTCTCTCGGGGTCGAGCCAGTGACGACATCGATGCGCCTCTGGACCTCCCCACGACCAAGAACTGGAAGAGCATGAGTGAGTGAGGGTTGGGGGGGGTGAGTGGAGGAAAGGGTTGGAAAGGGAAAAGGAGGTTGCGGAAAAGACGTGCGAAGGTGAACCAGAGCGTAAGGGCCTTCGGTGCGCGGATATGGGACGGGAGAACGGCTCCTGGTTTCGGTGCTGTTCGGGGCTGGCGAAAGAGTGACATGTTATGGACCTGTGCGCGTGTGTGTATCTGCGACTGGCGCAGCGCAGCTTGGTGGAGGCAGTTGGCCAGTTGGCCGGAAATGGGTTGTTTTAGAGTGGTGTGTACGGAAGTATGATGTGTGGGATAGGGGGGTCATATCTTCACCCTGCGGCCGCTACCCGGCGAAACCCTGCCTTCCCCGGTATTTCGGGGCACCCTCATCCAGTCACCCTAGTCAGCTTCTCAGTGGATTGCTCAGGTTCCGCACCCACCACCGGCATCCAACGGAATCTGCCGGGTCGACAGCGGCCCAACTCCATTCCTGGTCGACTCGAAGTTTAACTTTATCACAGGTCACCAGCGTCCATCAACTAGGGGCGCAATACCTTCGACCGTGACAGGTCTCGATCCCGGGATCTCCCGGGGGCATTAGTGCGTGCTCTAACAGTAGTGCCTAACCTATGAATAAGTATGTATACATTGACGTCTCCCAGCAAAAATACCCCTGAAGCTCCATTGCCAATTCAGTTGCCGCCCATTTCTCCCTCCGCTTTGCATCGTAGTATTTCCTTTCCCGTCTCCCCTCGCTTCACCTCCCCCCGCGCCTTCGCATCCCCCCCAGCAGTGGGTGCTTGGGAGGTTGTCGGCAGTTGGCCCTCTGCCCCCTCCCCCCGCGCATCATCATTGGATTCCCCTCCTCCCTTTTCCCGGTCTCCCCGCCCACCTGGCCGCATACCATCCCTCCTGTCTACCCTCCCCGCTCCTCACCTCCCCTCACCTCACCTCCCCCCCCCTAAGGTCTGCGCATCTGGCACATCCTGGAGGAGCTTGTGGAGCTGAACATCTTCCCCGCACCCGCTAATCCATTTGAAATTGACTTTGAGGCGCTGAGGGACATGCCGGATTTGGAACGAGCACTGCAGGTGGGGCTCTCAATTCGGTGGGGCTCTCAATGGGGTGTTCACGTAGAGGTGGAATACCGCCTGGGTCTCGCGGGAGGAAAAAGGGTTTGCATGTGGGGGTGGGGTGGGGAAGTGGTTGAAATTGCGGTCCCAAGCCTCCTCTTCATCCCCGCCGCTTTCTATCCGCTACATGGGCCCTTCACATTGGCCCTCCTCGCGGTGTCTTGGTCCCTGGGTGCCTAAACTATCGTGTAATTACTCCCGTCCCTTGGCTGGCCGGCGCTGCTTGATTCGCCAGTGGTTCGTCTTTTCCCCCTTTTGGTTGACCGCCTTGGTGACGGCCCCTCCTGCCCTCCCTCCCCTCCTTCCGCACACTAAAAGCTTAAGTAACGCCAGGGGGGGATTGCGCCGCGAACATCCCGCCCCTCCCAAAGCGAACTCTTGTTCTTTTTACATTGCCAGAAGCGAAAGGCCTCTTCGTTAGAGATTGACTATTTCCATCGTCCGATTGATGTGACGGATATCTCCTGTCTCCTCCCCAACGGTCTTGGGCCCCCTGCTCCCCTGCCCCTCCCCCTCCCCCCCCCCCGCCTTCCTCCTTATCTCTCTCTCGGCCCCCCCCCTTCCCTCCCTCCCCACCCCCTCACTCGTTCGTGGTTCGTCTTTCCCTCCCCCCCAAAGGCCGGCGCCGTGGCGTCCTTCCTGCGTGAGCTGCTGCTGAGCAACTGCCAGCGCCCCGACCTGGTGCAGCAGGACTTCCAAGAGGCAGTTGCCGTCCATTTCCAGCTGATGCCCAAACTGACTCCCCCCACACCCGGACTCTCAGCGGCGACACAGAACGCAGGAAACTTAATAGAAGGACAGCAGCAGCCGCAACAGCCGCAACAACAACAGCCCGCAGAGGGGCAGCAGCAGCAGCAACAACAGCAGCAGCAGCAGCAGCGGCGGGAATAGGCCTTGGTAGCCTTGGTGGGACATCGAGACACGATCGCGCAGATGTCGATCGCACGGGAGGAGAAGGGTAGGAATCGCAGTAATAATGGTAATGGTACTACTAGTAATAGTAGCAGTGGTATTAGCGGATGTGGGAATCAAGGACACGGGACCATACAACTGCGGGGGCTGTGGCAGCGTCAGCGGCTTTGACTTCTTGGGGTCCGCTTCCACGACGTGCCTGGCGCCATCAGTTAAATCTCCGTCAACGACCAAGATGTCGACCTCCCGGCAAATACCCGGGGGCTTCCGGACTGGCGGAGTGTGGCGGAGTGCGAGGAGAGCATTAGTGTTGAGGTGGATGGAGGGGCGGATGTCCCCCCACAGCGGGCGGGCGGGGGGCCGCCACGCCAAGTGCGCTAGTGCGGGCCGGAAGGGACCGACCTACTTTTGGACTTTGGGGACTTCAATACCCGAGAAGCGTGGATATGGTGTGTGTGTATGTATGTCGGGTATGGGCAGCTTGGGTCGCTGGCGGCGTTGTGGACGATGTCGTGGTCTTTGCAAAGCGGGGTGAAGGTTGGGGGAAAGAGGAGCAGCAGCAGCAGCGGATGGGGTTGGGAAGACCATCGACGGCTTTTGGTTGGGATGGTGTGGGTTTATTAGCCTCACCTGGCTGGTTCGGGTCAAGTTGTTTCGCAGAAACATCTCACCAGCTTCTGACGTCTCCTTCTTTACCGCAAGGGGGTCAGGGGGCTGTGGGGAAATGGGGGTAGTGGGGTTTGGCATCAGCTACGAGACGCGCGCGTGCGTGTACTTGTACGTGCGTGTACCTGTACGTGTGTGTACCTGTACGTGTGTGTACCTGTACGTGTGTGTGCATGTATGTATGTATGTATGTATGTATGTATGTACGGATGGATGGATATGGATGGGTTCAGTACCGGGAGAGGTTACAGAAGTCCGCGGTGTACCTCCAATCTGGTGGACATTTGGACATGACTCGCTCGGACAGACACCCGGTCGCGAAAGTGCCGTCCTCAGGCTGCCCGGCGGCGCTCCGATTCCGTAGTAGTAGCTGGCCGATTCGTGCTTATTAGGCTGCCCCGAACTTCACTGCTTGTTTTGATTTTCGCTTTCAGGGTGGTTCATATGTAAAAGACCAGGACCTGAGGATGCAAGTTTGGCGAGATGAAGTGGGATGTGCACCGGCTGCCGCACTCACCGTCCTAATGGATGGATGTGGGATCGAGGCCCATCTAGTAGTGTATCCATTCTCTTTATGTGCTTGTGCATGTTGCATCGCATAGTATGTTACCGGCTTGCTATTGTACCCGTTCGGTTGGCCGACAGATCGATCGTTCATGAAGTATACGGCACTAGTGGTTGGTGTATCGGCAGCTTCGTGAAGTTTTAACATCCTGTCTGGCTCAACTTGACAAATCTTGTAGTATTATATCTAGAGCAAGATGGCACTTCAAAGCTTTCAGAAAAGTGTAACTCGGCAAAGGTTGTCCATCTGCAAGCCTCGCTTGGTGCACCGGCGAACAACAATCGTGTCGGCTAGATTACGACAAACTTCAGAGCCGCATATCCAGCTGGGAACTGCAAAGCTTCCGAAGTGAGCTCAAAATAGACATGAGTGTTGGTGATTTGGCCGGACGAAAGCTCTACGAGCACCGTTTTCAAATAGCAACCGCACGTAATTTACCTGCTTACAATTAACGATTTCCGTTTTTCATTTACAGCGACATCAACCGGGAAGCATTTTCTGAGTACCTCTACCAATGGGCCGCGACCCTGACGCAGAGCGGAGCGAATTTCCCCTTTGTGCTGCCGGTTAAGGCCGATAAGTACTCGGAGGGGTTCAAGGTGCGTTGGGTTTCGGGTTGCTCTGGGTCCAATAACACGAGCATACCTGCCTGATGGCGTATGGGCGTTGTCCGCCGTCCGCCGCGAAAGCCACCTACACGCACCTACGTGCATTATGTAGATCTCCCTGCTCAAGAGGATGCCCGAAGGGAACTTTGACAGCGCTGGTGAGATTCAGGGGACGGTCGAAGAGGTCTCCGGCAAGGTAAGTTGCATATGGCAGCAAGAGGACGGCAATCTACTGCTAGGTCGAAGTGGTGCTGTGCTCGGGGGTCATTGTGGATAAGGGAGGAAGGCTCCGAGCTGTTTTTTTTCCCAACCCTCGTTACGTGTGTTCACTGCGCAGCAGTACGGGCCTGGCTGGGAGACGATACAGAGGGGCTACAGAATATTCTGGACCCAAAAGCGTAACTCCCCTTGGGAGAAAACATGAGGGTCGAGCGTTTCATACTTCTGAGACTCATTACACGGAAGGGGGCCAGGTTACCGACTAGGGAGGGGTGCAGCAGCCGGATACAGGCCTTGTCCAGCAAGCTGGCTGCTACACGCCATGCATGGCATTAAACAAGGCTAAGCCGTAGCCCGTCATCCGTGTTCAGTTCATGTCGCCAGGCAGGCTATTCACAAACGCAAGCGGAATTTCCCGCAGGGCTCTGTGGTGATGATTCGGTTCTTCGAGGGTCCCGCTGGTCTAGTGGATCGCAGGTAAGACCGTGACGGTCACGAAGAAGTCTTTACAACAACGGAGGAGGTCACATCTTAGGTTTGCGGCAGCGGATTACATCAGCAGAGGTTCTCTTACCTATTAGACGCTCGCGGGTCCTAGCAAAGTAAGGCGATAGTTTACAGCAGGGCCTACGAGGTGTGTCAGTGCCTTCTGTTATATGGATGTTCTTATGTGCGATAGCACAGGTGCAATCACCTGTGTTGGAAATGACCGGCAGCGTGCGGTGCGTGACTTGATGAGCATTCTTTGTTGACTAATCTGTTTAATCTGGAATGTTCCCGCAGGACTCCTCCGCCTTCGGACGTGCAGCAACGGCTCGCCATCGTTCTAGATTCGTTAGTCGACGTGGGAACTATTATGAGCACCATGCCAGATGTGCTGCGGAAAGGCGTGGCGAAGTGCCGATGAGCAGTTGCTGTACCAACGGTACTTCACGCACATTGTGCCAGGTGCCTGCGGCTCACTATCAGTTACCGAGCTTGGGACATAAGTTAGTAGTCACTCTGCTTGGAGATAATAGTTATCGAGGCATTTTGAAGGTTGCATATATACGGGTTCTTGATTTTAGCAGTTACAAGGAGGATTGGAGTCAGCTGTCAAGTAACTTTCATGACGAGCTTCGTTACGCAACGCATTACGCATCTTGGCACGGTTGCGCGTCCGAACAGGTGCTGTTTCCCATCCGTCGAGTGCGCGAACTCTTCGACGCACTCTTGTAACTTAGATATTCTTATATGTTTGCAGTCTTAAGACATGCACGGCATTGAAACTTTCAGCTCGCAGGAGTGCGCAGGTAAGGCGGCAGACTGTTTACCTTGCGAAAGGTTTCGCCATAGCCCAATGTTCTGCATGCTGCTTGCAGGCTCGCCTGGCTCAGGGAAGGCCCTGGAATATACACATGAAAGCAGTGGAGGTAGTGAAATTACATGCCTTGAAAGAAACGGCTGCCCATGAACCTAATATAGTTCGAGGGCTTAATGACGCCGCATGCACCGCAGACTGGGAGCACCGGTACCAATGATTTTGTCCAGAATGCGCCTAGCGATACAGCATCAGTAGTCAGCGCAGAATCTGTCAAGGTAACCGGCTCGCAAATGGTTCGGGGCAGGGCCGGGATCCTAGAAGACATGAATTAATGGAGCGTCCCAAAGGTTTGGAGGCGAGATATATAATTTCGGAACACTGCAGCTTCTGTCGGTAAACAACGTTTTCACTCCTTTGCGTTGCAAGCTTCGTGAGCTTGCGCGGCCCAAAAGTAACCAAGAAGCTCACGAGCCAAAAGTGCTGAAACCAAGAACTTAACAAATCGGCAGGTTAGGCTAACGATCCATTCTACCCGGTCCGTACCGTTGCCACCGTTTCTGTCCGCTTGGCCTTCCGCACACTTTGTGTAGGCGGCGCTCTTGGATGCGATCTGCGGCACCGACCGCGGCCTGGTCGCCCGGTCGGAAGTGCGAGCTGAGCTAAACGAACTGGTAAGCGCAGTACACCTGAGACTGTATTACATTTCGCTCAGCAGGCCTACTTGGCCATACAACACTATAACCCTTCCAACCTACCTTGCGGTCACTCCCCCGAGTCATCACAACTCCCTTCGTCTAGCTCGCGGCACCAGCTTACTTGTCGTGCAGCTACGCAGCAACGTGCACATTTACCAACTTCCAGCAACGGACAATGGCACATTGTGTGTATAATACCGGTAACCATGATACGATTCAACCGCCACTCAACTTCCGTACGGACAATCGACTGACAGCGCGCACCCTCCCCCTTGCCTTTTGGCACCCTGCTTGAAATGTTTTTGTGCTTTCCTTTCCTGTCCGCGACTTTGATTGGCTTTGGTTGCTGACTGCCTCTGCCTCTGCCCCTGCCCCTGCCACCGCTGGTTACTGATGTTTCTGTTACTGGCTCTGGATGTTGTTGCTGTTACTGCAGATCAACCAGTTGGAGGTGAGGGGCGGTCACGGGTCGGATATCTCCAGTGCGGAGTTCGCCGGCACCTGGGAGCTCGTGTACTCCAACGCCGCCGACCTGCTACTCCTGCTCTCAATCAGCAAGCTGCCACTGCCAGTCAGGATCGGCGCCGTACGTCAAACCATCAACGCCGCCAACAGCACGGTGGAGAACTCTGTGCAGCTGGAGGTGGGCGATTTGGGTAGGGAGAGGCGCGACGCGTTTGGGTGAAATTGCTGCGCTTTGGCGCGAATTGTTCGGGAGCCTTGTCACTATGTGGGTGTAGGTGGGGGCGTGGAGTGAGGGGGGTTTTCACTACCGATGGTGCGGCAGCAAGGGGCAGTATTAAGTGGTCGTATCAACCAGGTGTGCGCACCCCTGGGCCCCGTAATGGTACGTTTCCGGTGCCGGATGGTCTACCGGGGGGCCGGCATGACGATGATGGTGGTGATGATAGAGGTGGTGATGATAGAGGTGGTGATTATTATTTTGTTTCTTAGTTGTATAGTTCAGTTGACAGTTGTATAGTTCAGTTGGCAGTTGTATAGTTCAGTTGACAGTTTTATAGTTCAGTTGACAGTTGTGTTGACGTGTGCCTGCAGGCAACATCAGCGCCAGCTGCGACCCGCTAGCTGGTAACGCCTACCAGTGTATGTAGTCAGCTGTCCGGGACTTCGCCCACTCAGTTGCCGGGTCACCCCTTCCGGAGCCCCTTTTTCCATTTTCACCTTCCACGACTGCCCGTCCCTTTGCATGCCACGCACCCCTGCCCCTCCCCTCCCTTGCCCTCCCCGTGACTCCGGGCTGAAGTTCCCGCTGGTGCACACTTCTGTGTCGACGGTTAGCAGCTACAACATCGCTTCACCCAAGAGGTGAGGAGACGTCTTCGTCAGCCTAATGATGGAGGTGGTCACCCAGCTTTATAGGCTCCTAGGTCGATGGACGGACTGAGAGGGGTGTTAGTAACTGAGGGGTCTTCTGGATAAAGTTATATCTTGAATATAGAACAGCAGCTGGGGTAGATCATGTCCAGATCACAAGAGAGCAGTTTAATACGTGATGAACAGATACGATGGGGGACATCTGAGTCACGCAACGGACTGGGGGACGTGATAGCGTCGTGTGTGCACATGAAACGAAAGGAAGGAAGAAAGGTATTCGGTTTTAGCAGGTGCAGTTCGCTTTATGACTTGGGGGGGTATTATCCCCTACGCTTGCAGCAGGCCCTGACACACACACACACACACACACACACACACACACACACACACACCGGCGATGCAAACTCCTAGCCCCGGATAGACCCTTTCCTGGCCTCCCCCCCTCCCCCGCCAGCTACTCCGACGTTCACACTCCAATACCAATACGTACATTCATACATACGTACATACACACACGCGCGCACGCGTGCACGTGCAGGTTGCAATTCACGGTGCAACGCGGCATCCTGCACACACCCTCCATCGAGGGCAATCTGGAGCTGCCCGCCTCCATAACCGTGCTGGGGCAGACACTTGACTTGGCTCTGCTACGAGATGCCCTGGCGCCCCTAACCCGCGGGGCCGCCAGCCTGGCTGCGTCAGCGTCTGACCTGCTGGGCCAGGCACCCAATCTGGAGGTCCCTCTGCAGACGCAAACATGGCAGCTGACGACGTACCTTGACTCCACGCTGCGGATTACACGTGGCGATGGGGGTACGGTGTATGTGTTTAAGAAGGTTGCGGCTCCATCAAAATGATGATCTTTATTATTATGTATTGTTGCTGGCTGGGCTAGGAAGTGTGGAGTTTTAAAGTTGTATTTGAATTGATGGGGTGTGTTTGGGTTTGAGATTAGCATAATAGTGTGTATTGGGAAACTGGTTTTCTTTGCGTGTGCGGATGGGAAGGCCGAAGTGGGTCTGCTGTTGGTGGCGGGTCTGAGTGTTTCCTGTATGTTTATCAACCCATCACAGTGAGCATTTTATTTTAGGCAAGAAGTCGGGGTAGTTATTGCAGTACAGTGCAGTACAGCACAGCGTGGGAAGATGTGACGAGCGGCTGCTGGCACTGCCATGCAGGGTGGAGATATATGTATATGTGTGCGTGTACGTTCAGAAGTCGTTGTGCATGTGTTGCTCTTACTTTATATGATATTATCCGGTGGTTGTTGGTCAGCAGGCCCGGTGCGTGTAAAGCTGTAAAGCTGTATAGTTGTGAAGAGAGGAGACCTGTCGAGAGGCTACATATCTCGACTGGCCTGGGGGTTTTCCAGGACTTATTGTTACATACATACATGAGGGGTGGTTTTCTGGAATGGAAGGTGATGGCAAGGTGCGCAGCAGGATATGCCGCGATTGGACAGGTGAATGGAAGCATGTCAGTGCTTCTATCTGCTGGTTGAGAGCGCGGGGCGGCTTTCAACAAAAACGCAATAATCATACAGGACATTCCATGTTACTGATTTAAATACTCACGATTCCTAATAACACTAGAACATGCATATCCCCATCACCATCATCGTACTTCGATTCCTCCTTAGCCACATGTAACTCAACTCATCCTCCAACAGGGTGCTCGGTGCCACACATACACCCCATCAGGGCCTCCCCCCATCCGGCGAGTAACCGAAATCCTCTCAGGGTTTGCTTCTGGTGTCCTGTAGGTGATGATGGTAATGATGGGCGATGGACAATATATACATATGGCCATGTGTTGGGGGGACCCCGTCCAGTGCATATAGTAGTGGTGTGCTGGCAAGGTAAATGTGTGGAAGCGAGCTTTGTTACAGCGGACGGTCGGGGAGCATCACCCTTGTCAAGATGTGTCCGGGTGAAGACTCTGTTAGCTGTGTATGCACCACCACGGCTCTTTGGCCTGGACAGCACCAGGCAACCCCGGCAGCACCAAAGACACTCCCCTGCTGCTGCTACCCTTGCTAGTACAGCAGCAGCAGCAGTGTCTGCTTTCGCGTCTGTGATTCATTACACCAATGCCAGAAAAGACAGAATAGACGAAGTAACCCATTTTCAAGGAGTAAAAATGCCACTGCTTTCAACGGTGCAGCAACCCAGGTGGCTGACAGCAGCGCGATCCTATGCTGGTGGTGTTGCAGCTGCTGCCCATCGCTGCAGCCACGCACTGCCCTCAACACGGCCCCCACCGCCGTCGCTGCCCTTCCTGCCGCTGCGGATATCATCGGTACCCGCCTCCACCCGCGCAAGCTACGGCTATATTATATATTATCCTCCTATGTATATCCTCCTGCTGCTACTGCTGATGGTGGACCTCTCCTGGCTGGCCGCCATCATCGTGCTGCCTGCATAACGTGCAGCCGTCACTACTAACTACTACTACTGCTGCTGCTACTACTGCTACTACTATTGCTGCTGTCGCATAAATTCCCACAGGCAGCATCTCCTCGGGGTTTCAACTCTTGTTACTGCTGCTGCCGCCACCGCCGCCTTGTCCGTGCTGCTGCAACTGCGGCTGTAGCAGCTGTCCGTGACGCCGGTGGGCCCCGTCCGCCTCCCGCGGCTGGTCATGGTGGTCGTGGTGGTGGTGGTGGTGGTGCTGCTGCTGCTGCTGCTGCCGTACCCGCGCCCGCAGGCACGCCAGGCCCCTCCGCAGCCGCGCCATCGAGTTGTTCAACATCGCCAACCGGGCCTTACATCCTGCCAGCCGTTCCGCCAACACCCGGGCAGCAACTTGCCGCCGCCGCTGACGTGCTCGCACCCGCCACCACACCGACTCGTTGGGCACAGGCGCCGCTGCCGCCACCGCCGCTGCAGGTACTGGTGCGGGCGCTGGCATCTCTGCTGCCGCCACCGCCGTCCCAAATGGTGCCGCCGCCACCAGTGAAGCCGTCGCCGGCATCGCTGCGGCTATTGCTGCTGCGGCTGCTGCTGCAGCGGTGGCGCTGCGCTTGAGCGTCACCACCTGTCGCCGCAGCTCTGCCGCCGCCAGCTCCGCGGCGGGTCCCCAGCGGCGGGCTGTCAGTTGCTCCATGCGATGAAGCCACAGCGGCGGCGGCAGGTGGCCCAAGCGAACCAGCGCCGAAACCACCAGACACGCCTCCGCGGGACTCAACGACGGCAGAACCTGCGGTGTAGAAAGGGATCGGCGTCGGCAGCCCCTTTTCATACTTCACAGCCTGCATCACATCTGTGCATATCCCCTATAGTCATACAGCGATACAAATACCTTCTCTAACTTCATTGCTACTTATCCGCACAGCCCAGAGCCTCACCACGTGTTTGTCGCCGCAACGAGGCGCTTTTCCGTCCAGCAGTAATTACCCCCCAAGTACAGTACCGCCCCACCCCCAGCAGCACTGTACTGCACTGCGTACTTCGCCGTATGACATGAAAGCGATATGGGCCCCCCCACCAGCTTCGATGCCTCCTTGCCTCGAAATCCCACACGGGGGCCCCAGTCGCCCATCAAACAACGGACAAAGGTCACAGCTTTTACCTCGAAGCTGTGTGCCAGGAACGCTCGCGTCCAGCCCTCGTGGGGTCGATGCCCTAATCTGGTCATGGACCACAGCAGCACCGGCAACGCCAGCCGCGGCTGGCCGCTCCCAATCTCCACCACCTCCATCTCTGCCATACCCTGAAGCGCCGCATCCAGGAAGGGACCCAGGTCTAAAGGCGGCAGCGGCGGCGGCGCAGTTGCCGCCACCGCAACGGCCGCTCCGCCGTACTGCCGCCACCACCTTGGCGGCAGATCCGCCCCCGGCCTCGGCTGCGGCCCCGCCGCCGCCGCGGGCCATGCCGGCGGCGCCGCCTTCGCCCCCTCCGGCGTCCGCAGCCCCCACGCCTCCGCCGGCAGCCAGCCCAGGTAGTGTAATCGAGCCAGGGCGTAAAGGAGCAGGGAAGCGCTGGGGGGTGTGAACTCGGGCGCCCGGCGGGCGGCGGCCGCCAGCAAGTGTTGGAGCAGGACGGGCCGCGGCGGCACACGCAGCCGCACGCAGCACCACAGTGCCGTGGAGAGGAGCTGCGCGACTCGGGGTCGGTTGGGTTGGGTTCGGTTGGGTTGGGTTGTCCCATGCGGGTTGGGGGCGGGGGATGAGGGATCGGGAGAGGGAGCAGAGAGAGGGAGAGGTCACTTTCCTAAGCGAGGGAAGGTGTAACCCCCCGACTCCAGGGGGGCGGGAAGGGATCGAAACGCCGGCCAAGAAGATATTTCTTTATATCCAGACGCTGCGGGCTGAAAGGGGATGTGAAGGGAAAAGCCCCCAGGTCAGCTGGACACTCAGGCGCTGTGTTTCTGTCTGTATGTGTGTGTAGCAAGAGAGCCGGGAGTCTCTTCTCCCCCCACCCTTCTCCGCCGCACTCCTACATAGTTCTCTAAACTTCCCCTTTCTTCCCCCCCTCTCCAACCAACACATACATACATACATACACTGCATACATGCACGGCTCGATTTCCTTCTTTCCACGCCGCTTCTCCGCGGATGGAAGTTGTTTCGCGCCCCTCGGCAAGACCACCTCTCCGTCCCCCGGGACCCCCCCCCCCCGG